AGGAATTGTTTCTCAATAAGAAATGATCAGTCCATTTATCTGCACCGGGCGGGCCTGTCGCTTCACCCAGACCTCCAATATTTTTCGTTTGACCTGATCAGGGCTATAAACTAGGCCCAGACACTTTCAATTTGTCACCCTGGGAGGCACCTTCCAAGTCCCATGCAACTGATTGCATCCTCCCCGCAGATGTAAAAATTCCTCCCAGGCTCGAAATCTTTTATTTATTCTTTTGTCATGCGAATATATCTGCTATAATATATGAGACGGCATGAGATATTCAGCTGAGAGGGATGATAACTACTCACTTCCATCCCCCTTTATTGATGCAGTAAAACTCAAACAGCGCTGGTTTTGTGTGTGGTAAATTAAATGAATATTAAATATGACTATCGTTTTAATTAAACAAAATATGGGGTTTTTCTAATCAGATAATGTCAAGTTAACTTCTTCAAAACAACGTCAACAAAACAAACTAGATCAATCGCGCTCTTATCTGGATTTGAGTGCAATAAACAAATCGCAAATATTTAAATCCATTGCCAAAACCAAAATATTTATTTTATTATCATTCCTACAAGCGGTTGTACCTGTTAATTAAACATCATCAAATGAGTTTTGTGAATTAGTTAATTAGCCAAGTTGTTAATGAGTTAATGAGTACTTCAAATTTGTTTTAACTCAAATGTATATGGAACAACCAATCCAATCCGATTTATTTATATAGAAGATGACGGTGATTTGGTCAGATGTCGTCTAAATCCAGCCTGTGTTGTTCGAGTCATTATAACTTTGCTTACATTTTGTTGGAAAATTTGAATAATATATTGAATAATGAGAAGGTACAGAGAAGAAGATTTAGAATTAATTTTCGTATGAAGGAAGATTGTAAAAAAGGCAGTTGTCATTAATGTTTAATTAATGATTTTTTTTGTGCTTTTAATAAGTAGTTTTACCTTGTGCAAGCCTTGTGTGGCCAGTCTGGGTTTCAAAAGCTTTGAGAGCCCCCTTTTCGGTAAACTATTCAATGAAAAACATGTCTTCAGTCTACTAAAAATGCTTCTGTGATAAACTCGGTAAACGGTAAAAATCCCGAAAGATCAGTGACATTTTTTGAATACATTTGATTAAAACAAAGCTCATTTTTAAAGTTCTTCGTGATAACTACTGTTGGGATTTAGGTCTATACAAAAACATCTTTTATTGAATCAAGTGTTGAGATGACTTGTTACACATTGGGTTGTTTGGTTTCTTTCTAAAGCCTTTTTTTCTTTCATTCTGCAGTCATTATAGAAATATGAGTCATAAAACCTCTTCTCAGCCTGTTCAAGTCTATGTACAGTTCAAATAAACTATCAAATCAATTGCAACTATGATCTAGTTGCGATTAATTGATCCACTTGTTACAGACCTCACATAGTCCTGCAACAAGCCATTAGGTCCACCTGGCCGTGAGGTTATAGGGTCATTAGAAAGACAAACATTAACCCCACTGTTTTGATTCAAAACACGGACAAACTTTGAACAGGGGGTAATTACAACATCACACATGACTTCAGTTCCTATAAGAGCCTCTAAAGCAGTTACATATTCATTAAAGTGGAGAAAATGTGTCAACGATTTCACCAAAGCATTGAATAATTGTTTAACTAAATACCATGTGACAGGCCTGTTTGTACAACCACTGAGCAGAACATGGAAGAGACACACTCACCTTGTCCACTTTCCATCACTTATGGAGTTCACACCAGCCTGGACAAAAAACAGCATTTTCATATCAAGGAAGGTTTATGTGTATCGCGCAGTTCATACACAAAGCAACGCAAAGTGCTTAACAAAACAAACAATATTGAAATTATACAAGGTCTAAACATCATCAATAGCCACTCTTTTTAATTACATTAAAAAGAGTGACTATATATAAAAAACTATTTATTTGTGTGCGTAGAGTAGAAGCCAGTCTCACATTTTCAGGAAGACCAGATTTTAGCTGCATAAATCTGAAATGCTGCCTCCCCATAGTCCGTTTGGGTTTGGTTCTCATGCTGCATGCTGAGTAATAAAGCGCAGTCAGTCGTATAATGGCTAATTATGATTTCAATACTAAGAAATTGACTCTCGACTGCCCATTCCATTTGGATACCAGGGTGATTTTCAATTCAATTCATCCATCCATCAATCCATTTTATTTCCCTTAATTCATCTCATTTTGAGCCTTTAAATAGAAGGCTCAAAATAGAGATAGACACTGATCCTCCTGCAAGTGATGAGTCCTCAAGAGGACTCAATTCAATTCAATTATTTCTATTCTGTGTAGTCCTGAATCCCAACAGTAGTAAATCGCAGAGGACTTAACGAAACCGCTGAAATCAGATCAGATCAGAGAATCCAACAGAATCTGGATTCTGTTGGATGAGCATCCCTTTTTTGGCGATGAGCATCCCTTTTTTCCTATCATTTACAACTACTTTTAATGTTAGTTTAGATTAGTGAAATTGGTATCACAGGTTCTGAGATCAAAATCCTAAATAAAAGACATAGAGGCTATTGTGGAGTAGTTCATATTACTTCTATCTAAAAATCTAAAAATGTAGTCATATTGTTAATAAAGTAAACTTACCCAAAGAAAAGATAATGTATTACAACACACAATTTTTGTTCTTCTAAATGTATATAATGTAAAATTGAAAAAAAGAAAATAAAAATCCAACACCATTAGTACAAAGAAAAAGCTAAAAAACTGAATCATTATTTCTTCAGTTCGTATTGTTGTTTGATTCTCTGATCTGTTGTTGGCGGATTGACAACTTTTTAAAGTCCTCCCAGACATTGCTGTTGTGATTTAGGGCTATACAAAAATAACACAATTGTGGTGTCAAGAAAAAGACAAACCATTTCCTTTGTATGATATTGATGTTAAAGGTATAAATGATTTCATCAAATGATGATCATCAAAACTATTGGTCGTCACAATTGTCAATCATTCTGGTGATACAGAGAGCAGGGAGTTTTGTTCTAAAAGTGGAGAGGGCGGTTCTTTCCTAGAGTTTGGGAAAACCCTCCAATACCTTTAAGCTAACCCTCTAACCTAAAACTAATATGTCTCCTTATGACCAGGGTCTTTAACATAAGAGTTATAAATGTAGTTTACCGTTCACCTGGAGATTGTTTCTCTCACAGAAGACTTGGGAAACAGAAAAACTGAAGTTGGCAAAACGTTGATAAAAACATGAGCACTAAGCAATATCCATGGCTAAGAGCGGGAAAGCACTTCCGCACCACCTTGATGTGAGGTCATCAAGGTGGTTATTAACTCCTAAATTCCACTCTTTCTAAAATAAAAGTGTTTTATTTTTGTCTTTGCATACAGTTTTACAAACGTCAAGAGCAGAAGAGCTATGTATGCACACATGCATTTAACCCTCCATTAAACCCATCTAAACCGGGAGAGTAACAGTAGGTAATTGCTGAGGTAATAGTGACACCTTGTGGAGTCTACCAGTACTGCATAACTACGCACAGACTCGAGGAAAGGGTAATTAAATTATCCATTTTTACAGTCTATGATTATAATTAATGAAATCTATGAAAGACAATGGTAATGGTACTTTATTTTGTGAGAGGATGTCACAGAGTAATCGTTCAGCTGTACAGCAGTTATCTAGTTACACAGTTTTACAGATGCAAGTCTCAGCACAAATGAGATGAAACAAGTTGTGTCTCTACATGAAAAAGTTCAAGTACAACCCATTTAAGGTAAGTCTATTAGGCTAGGTGCAGTTTAACATGCAACTTGTCCCTGTTTACCCCCACACTACACTAAAGTACAACTCTGGCACTTATACTGGAGTAAGATTTTAAGTGGGAAACATGCAGGCACAGTAAAAGTGAGTGACCTTATGGCTTTAAAGATTATCCCATCAAAAAGTATTACTGCTCCAGGCAAAATTATGTTTTGCTGCAGTACATTACCGTAACCGTTTCCATTAACTTACATCAAAATGTAGCTCATGTGTTTTAGAAGTTGTGACATAAAGGCAGAAACGTGAGTTGGCTTAAAAATTCAGAGGTTTTCTGAATCTGTAAAATAGGCTACATACATCTGACGAAAGTCCATCTGAACAAAATACAGATTCAGTAGAAACACAAAGTAGATATAATAAAGCATGTATAACCTTTGTCCTGGGTGCATCAAATAATTATTTTTTGTGCATTAAAACTCTTCCCATCACCAATTTTCAATGTTTGAAAAAAGTGTCTTTTTCAATATGCTGACAGTTTTACATCAGCGTCTTAACTGAGAAATCCTTGTGTAAACGCAACACATTTGGATTACTCTTCTGTTGTGATTATCAGCAGTTTGTCTGTAGTTTAAACTCACAGTTTTAGGTTTACATTGTTAACGTAGGTCATTTGCATTTTCTTGAAATTAACTGACTAAATATCCGGCACTAAATGGTGACAAGGCTGTTATCTTTGAGCTAAGTTGTTCAGAGGCATTTCGATGGTTGCAAAGTAAATAGCCATTAACTCTAAATAAAAAATGTTAGCTTATTTAAATCAACATATAATGCCTTTGTAGACCTGAAGGCACTCAAAGTGAAACATCCTCACAGTCAAACTCTTTCATTATACATCATTCAAAAGAAACAAAAAACCACAAGCTAAAAAAATAGTGAAGCCAAACTCCGGTGTGGTGGCACCTTTACATGGCTTGAATCTGCTCTAGTTATTACTCATTAGGATTTACCTGCTAGTACTTCTATTACTTCGTTTCATTGTCACAGACAAATAAAGTAAAGGACACAGCTCATGGTGCAGACCAAATATCAGTCATTAGCTTTGATTCCATCCGATCCATGGTGTGAATGACTTGTGCACATGGACCATAAAGATAAGCTATAAATACATGTTTGTATACACAAGGAAAAGGAATGAAGAAGGGTGCCAGCCGTGAATCAGGGCTCCGAAAAATAAAGATGGCACAAAGATGTTATAAGTTACAACACCCGAGAGCGCTTACTGGCCAGGGAGCCGTGCTGAAAGAAAGCAGAAAGCACAAGTTTTATTTTTTTATCCATTGTGCAGGACTTTTCTCTTTCAAGGCACAGTAACTTCATTATTTGCCATTTTTGCCCTCAGCACAGAGCGTGTGAGGGGAGAGAGGGGTGGGGTTAGTGAGTGTTTTAGGCCTGTGTCTTGTCTGTGTGAATAAGAACGTTGATGTGTCTTGATCTTAACTTGTCTCTTACCATCGGTTGTGTGTGCGTGCACATGTGTATGTGCGTTTTGTTGAAGGGTACTCTAGGGTATTGATTCTGTTTTGTATTGTCTTGTAGTATGTGTCTGAAAGGCTGGGAGGGCATCATCTTGTTTGCTTTCTTTTAAATATTTTTTTCTGTGAACAATTACAATCCACAGATCAACTTAAGTCATGCAACTCACTTTACCACTTTAAAAGGATGTTTAAAACTATGAATTTGGTTGGCTACCTGAACTCAGATTTTTGATGTTGATATAGTTGCTCATTTAAATGCTATTGTTTACATTCACTTATACTAATGACCCTTTTCGGTCTTTCTGCTGTGATTTACTGTCCTGACAATGTGTAAAATGTTCAAGTTACGGAAATAAACTTCATTCAGTCATTATTTGCATGTCTTGTTAATTTTTGAAATAAATGTTGACCTTCACCAACCTTAGCCTGTTTGTAAAAGTGAGGAGCCAGCTCAACCAACCAGGACGACTCCACCGCTGTAACGTCCCGCATGTAGTACTTTGTTGTTTGAACCACTTCGTTGAAAACGACCCTGAAAATAACAGGACTATTGTGAGAAACGGAAGAATATATATTTACTACGATTATTTTTAAGACAAAAATTACCATTTTGGTGGTTTCTCTCCAAATAGCACAGAAGTAGGGTGAATATGCAGCTCACGATCGTCCCGTAAAGTTCTGTGGGAAATTAATAATGAGGATGTAGGAATAAAGTTACAAGTTGAGATTTTGATGTAGGATTCTTGTACTTTGTGTACTTTTGAGTACACAAATACAAGTAACTAAAGTAGCTGATGACAAACACAGAATTGGCAACTGTCTGTATACACAAGTATATACAAGTATATACAAGTATATAAAATTGCCATTACTTGATCATCATTGATTTTAGACAAACAAACGCGTAAATGCATCACCTGTATGTTCCAGAGTGGTGAATGCGGGCAGCATTGGCAAAGAACCCAGATACAATACACCTCAAGATCACATCTGGGTCACCTGCAAAAGAAAAAAACACATTTAATGAAGGATAACATGTTGATAATTCGCTAACATTATACACTCTCTAGTGCAGGGGGGTCAAATTTCCCCACAGTGGGATGAATAAAAGATTATCTTAATCCATCTTTTTACTATTTAACTGTATGCACATTTGCCCAGCCTGATATTACTGAAGGCAAATTTAACATGTACATTCTCCATCACCTTCACTGGACGTCTTTGGAACCTTGAATTTGTTCATCAGACGTCGGAGCTGTTCTCGTACAGTCAGTGCTCGCTGCAGCCCCTTGTAATTCAGGAAGTGTTGCTGGCACCACTGGGAGCTCTTTTGATGCTAGAAAGACAAACAACACATTCAATCGAGTAATACAGCCATTCCCAAACTCAGTAACACCGAGGCCCCCTTAAAAATCTGACGGGTCTGTGTGGCCCCCCAAAATAATAACCAAGAAGACAACATTAAGAATAGGCTCTTCTGGTTATTTTATTTTGGGGAAATAGCCTCCGCTACAAACATTGTAATATAAAAATGATTACAGTGGATTATTCAAGTCAAATAATGAACACAAATATTTTAATATTACAAACAAAACATTATAAATTTAACATTAAATATATATATATATATTTTTATGACCTCCCGCGCCCCCCCTGCAGTACCCTCGCGGCCCACCAGGGGGCCGCGGACCCCACTTTGGGAGACACGGGAGTAATATGTTAGAAGTTAGAGAACTGTCCCGTCTGATGTTGTGCCTGTAGCCACATTTTTGGCTGGAAATATTTGACAAATGAAGAGAGACTATTGTGGACTATGATATAAAAATATCATTTTTCTCTATGCCCAGAAATGTTCTAAGAAATCACAGTGAAATATAAGGATTCACCATTCACCAGGTGAAATATTAAAACTAGTTATCAACTAGATATAGACAAGGGACCTGACTTTTTAGTTTCCTAATGTTTAGTTGATGTACTTCCATAGCAAAACACAAATCAGACCATTGCATGCTTTGTCTTGTACAAATGTGTAAGTTAGAGCCTATGAGCCTATACGGAATAGTTTCCAAATAGTTCTTCAAAACAATTAGGTTTTATACGTTTTACTTGCATGAATTTCTGGCCTCTGTCACATCCTCAGATCAACCTTTTCGTACAGAAAATTGAGGGGAAAAAAAAGAGGGCCACATTCTCTTAGCCAATCAGCTCTCAGCCCAAAGTGTCAAATAATGACTCACGCTTCAGGTCCCCCAGCTTTAGCTTAAACCAAACCCAGTCACTTACCTTTATAAACGCTTCATAAACATTCAGCATTGTGAGGTGGTCTCCTTCAGCTACTGCAAACTTGCGGTGCTCTCGGGCCTGTGCGTGACATAACAGGTCACATGACTGAATGAAGTTTTACCAAGCACTGGTTTGTTTTTGTTTTTTTACTTACAGCCACTTTTTTCTGGTTGGGAGGAACCACAAAAAGGTTCTGGATTTGCATCATTGCCGCAATAGTGACGATCTCTTGTGAGCAGCCAAAGTTCGCAGACTCAAGAAGCATCTTGGCAAACATGGGGCTGAGGGGAAACTCTGCCATCCGCAAACCCATGGGATCAGTCAAGCGGCCATAGTTATCCAAGCCTGGGGCGAGACAAAAAGAATTACAAGAAATATACATCATTATATGTAGTCAATAGTGAAAATAGATATAAAAAGCCGTCTCTTTTCACACTCTTAAATCACAAAGTGGCTTTTGATTGAATCCAAATGCAGAAATTGGTCTGAAATTCCTGCATTGTTAGTATAGTTATTCATTACAGTTTCAAAATGCTATAATGATTTATAAACTAGGGATTCATTGGTGTGGCATATTAGTTTGGAATCGGTATGCGTTCAAGAACAAGAACCCAGGCCCAGATAAGCAACAATCCTCGTTGTTCTTTAATATAATGTAATAAGACAAATATTAAGTCATAGTTACTCCTCTGTAGTAAGTACGTTTATTTCTATAGTGCATTTCACAGACCAAGGTCACCAAAGTGCTTTACAATTTGGAGTCCTGATATGTTGCATCTTTGTTTTTTTTTTATAACTCATACAACAGCTGTGATTTGAAGGGGGGTGGCAAGTTTCAGTCCTGTCACTGGTCCTCTGTTAATATACTAGTTACGAGTTTTCCAATGATCAACAATTGGATTTTTTTAGTGCAACATTACTCGAGGTTTTTTAATATAAGGCTGCACCTAAAAACCCCTTCGCCTCAAACCCCATGTTTTCTCCACTGTTTGATACAGATGTTGAAAGCCAAAGTCAAAACCCATTAGGAACAGATCCCAGAGTAGACATATAAAACAGAAATGCCTTAAGCTGGCATGTTACTAAATTGTGTTTTGTAGCAAGCATTCTCCTGAAGTACAGAACAACTCTATGAATAGTCTTGATCATGTCTGATATCCTGAGTGGGCCTTTCTCCCGATGCACAGTATTAGTTTTTACACTGTTTACCTCCCAAAGCATACAGCAGCTCCAGTGCCTGCACCATGGTCTGAGCCGGCGGGGGCTACAAAAATAAGAAACATAGAAACCTCGTGAATAAATCTTCTTTCAAATCAAAGCAAGGCAAGGCAAGTTTCTTTGTATAGCACATTTCATACAAAAGGCAACTCCAATGCTGAACAAAACAAGATAGAAACAACAAGGCATTCATTAAATAAATGATCACAGTTCATTAAAAAGAGTTGGGATAAAATCCCTCAGTTGTCCGCACAGCTTAACAGAGCTGATGTTTAACCTGGATTTGAACATTGTAAAAGCCTGTCTCTCACATTTTTAGGAAGATTGTTCCAGATTGTAGCTGCATAAATCTGACATGCTGCCTCCCAATGTTTAGTCCTGACTCTGGGCACCAGCAGGAGACCAGTCACGGTGCTCCTCAGAGTCCGAGGTTGTTCTTATGGCACGAACATGAAGTACTGAAGTACTTTGGTCCGAGGCCATGGAGAGACTAGTACAAAAATCAGATCTCCAGTTCAATCATTTTCTTAAATATTGACTTAAATATACCAAGCGCTTCTCAATTGGCTCAAAGCTACTGCCACTAATTGGATGGTACAAGAACATTTGATTTCACAGTGGATGCACACATTACATGGGACTGGGGCAGCAGATTTAGTCACTCACGGAGAGAAAGTTGAAGCGCAGCACATTGTCGATGCCTAATGCTTTGAGCTGCAGGATGACAGGGGCCAAATTGGTTCTCTGCATCTCGGGCACAGTCGCATCCGGCAGCTTCTCGTAGTCCTCCTCTGTGGAAAAGAAACATGGGAGGAAATCACAGATAACAAAGCAGGTGTGTCTTAAATAATATATATATATTTTTGGACTCTGGGGGTCGTCAAGTCAAATCTAAACATTATGATGTATTTCATGTTTAAGAGTTATAAATAATGTCTTCAGTAAAAACAGTTTTATAAAAACATTAAAGCCACACAGTAAGAGAAGTAAGAGAAATTCAAAAAAGGAAGGCAATTTTATAAGAAAACAGCCGAATCCATGAAGTGGATCGGCCGATTTGTGCCGTTCCTGGTATGAGTGTGTGGTGAAGCTGAAAATAATTCTGGTATGTTTTTGGTTGAGGGAACATGGCTGGAACATGTGATTAAATACTCAAAAAACTCAATTGTTTTTGACAAATACATTTAATTTGATATTTGTAGTGTTTTTTTGCCTTAAAAATATTATCTTCCATGTACTGTATCTGTGACCAAGATCCCTTACCTGTGTATAACCTGAAACATTTTCCTGATCGATTTCTTCCAGCTCTCCCAGCTCTTTGGCTCGCCGACGCTTTGGAGATTGGTGTCACGACCAGCGATTCAAAAGCAGAGCGAGGGTTATAGGCTCGCAGTTTCACAAACGCACAATCGATGACAAATACTACTCCGTTTATAGTAATGGACGTCTCTGCAATGTTGGTCGCCACCACCACCTACAAAATGAATGAGAGTGTAAAGCTGGTTTAGCACATTTTAAGGAACGTTTATTTGTATTATGCACAGTTCATACACAAGGCAACCCAAAGTGATGAACAAAACAAGAAAAGAAACATTAAAATCATACATAATACATTTGTAGCCAAGGTAAAGACTCACCTTGCGCACAGAAGGGGATGTCCGTTCAAACACTTTCATCTGATCCGCATATGGCAATCCAGAATACATCGGCAAAATTCTGAGATGTTTCTTCATGCCTTGTCGGGACATTGTTCGGGCATGCTCCACTAAAAGCGACGACACCTTCTCCACCTCGTCCTGAAATATTGAAGATATAAGAAAAAACATGAAAGGACTTTTTTCGTTTAACATGTAACGTGTGTGGGTAACTGTGGGGAGGCATGAGTGAGGATTTTTTTTATTTCTTTCATCCGTTTTTAATTTCACATTTTTTGCTGTGTTTTGTTTTTTGTGTGTCTTGTCTTTAATTCTATATGTGGGGATCATGTTTAAAACATGTAAAATTCAAACAAACCTGCCCAGTGAGAAAAGCCAACACATCTCCATCATCTTCTGTCTCGTGAATCTTAAGCACAGTCTCCACTGTGGCCTTCACATAGTCTGGCACAGGACTATGAAACAAAGAAATTAAAGAATCAAATCACAAGACTATAACTATAACTGACTTTGATTTCAGGGATTAGCTCTGAACCTGATGGTGTAGAAAATATCCACAGGAAACGTCCGACCTTCGACTGTCAGGATGCCACACGTGTCTTTGCTGGGATCACCGGATTCATTCAAGTTGAAGAATTCATGGAATTTCTAGGGGAAACATAATCATCAAACTAGGGTTAGCTTAAGCACACATTGATTTAAACTAAATACATGTCTACTGTGTGGTAAAGTGTTCAAAAAGTGTGTGTTTTTCTCAACAATAAATCAGCTTACAACAGCAGCAGAGGTATGTGCTTGTTTGGAAGGAAGACTTTATGGTGAAATGTTTTATCTGGCATTTTAGCTGACTCCTTTTGTTCTCAACACTGCCAAGGCCTGCTTTAGTCAGTCTTTCATCTGTGTTTGTCAGATGTCAGATCAGAGAGACGTGACCTGATGTATTATCAGTCAATTATTTTCTCTCAACACAAGCAAATCTGGACATCTTCATAGAGCTGTCACCTTGGCATCCAGGGTAGCAGAGGCTACGATCACCCGCAGGTCCCTGCGCTTCTTCTGAATCTATGGAATAAGCAAGAATTACACTTTCATTTTTCGAAACACTACAAACAAAAACAACTTTGTTTTGACAAAAATATCACTGACCTTCTTTAGTAAACCAATGGCTATATCCGTATAAAGTGTTCTCTCGTGTGCTTCATCCAACATCAAAACACTGAAAACAATCATTTAATTTAAGTCCTGAAAATAAAATTAAAGAAAAGTGGTAAATGCATCTCAATTTACCTGTACTTTTTCAGTAAAGGATCAGCCATCATCTCTCGCACAAGCATTCCATCTGTAAGGAACTGTGGAGAGGTAAATGTGAAAAAGCAGCTCTACAACACCAATGTCTCAGCTATGGCCAACATGCAGCCCTCAAGAGTCTGGTAAAGTGAACATAACTACCTTAACCAGTCTAATAGTACCACTTAAACCTGTGTCAGTGAGCACTTCTCCTTTGTCAAGATAATCCACCGTACCGCAGTTTTGTTTTAATGAGCGAGGTCTGGGGGAGGGCAAAACCTGTCAGTCACTGGTGTGAAGACCATTTGTCTTGCACAGCGCAACACATCTCTGCACAGAGTTGATCAGGTTGTTGACTGTGGAATGTTCTCTTCCCTTCCAACGTAGCGTGAAAAGACCTGGTCACAATAATTACATTATTGTTCAATGTCTGACCTCAATATTTATTGTTTGTACATCGTCTTTGCAATAGTGGAGACTTGAGTAACGTTCTTTGTCAAATCTTTGCTTTAGTTGTAAGAAGGTTCAATAGACCATGGAGAGACTTGAACACAAGCAGAGCTCCTTTATGGTCTATTCACTGAGCCACAGGAAGCCACTGCAAAGACCTGAGAACTGGACTAATGTGATAGTACTTCCCAGATCAAGTCAGGACTCAAACTGCAGCGTTTTGAATGTACTGCCGCTGTTTTATAGCTCGTTTGGAGAGACTAATGAGAAGCCGTTACAGTAGTCCAACACTGGAGACAAAAGCGTGAATGATAATCTCCAGGTCTACAGTTTATTTTTGATCCTTGCAATCCTGCCTAAAATTCTGTTTGAATTTATGTTTTTATACCAGAGAGTAAGGAGCAAAGACGGGGTGGGGCTCAGAATGTCTCACCACAAAATTACAGGCCAGTGATAACATAGACTTTATTGATCTCACACTGGAGAAACGTACATGTACTCACTCACAGAATCACTCAGATTGTGCAAAAAGACAGAAGTGGCGTTTGTGTGCGTGTGTATGGTTGGTGGTGGTCACATACTGCCCCAGGTCAGCTGTGGCTACAGAAGATTTTATCGCAACAGTGAATAGAGTGAATGAATAATGCCATGTGAAGCATCTTTGAGTGTACAAAAAAATAATGAAACAATGCAAAAAAATAAATACAAATGTTTTTTGGGGATTTCAGCTTCAGACCGGTTTTAAGAGTTGTGTTTTATTGTTGCCAACACAAAGCACACATAATCATGCAAGCCAATCAGCATCTCTATATGCCACATATGTGAGGTTGGGTGGATTATAATCAGTAGAGGAGAAGTGCTCACTAACACAAATTAAAGATAGATATTTCTTTTCCTTTGTCAGGTCTACAAAGATTTGCCGTTATACCTTTATTCTTGTAGCTTGTGGATCCGAACAGTCATCAAAACGTATAGTATATCCGACCTCATGGCCCATAAGAGCACCCCGCTCCTCTGCAACACGCCCTGCCACCTTTATTGATCATAGAATCATTCAGTTGTTTTTAAAGGATAAAAAAAACAGACATCAAGGACTTAAAGGCATTATAGAAGTTCTTACGGAAATGGCAGCCACGCGACGAGGCTGTGTCACCCCAATAACTTTGCCTTCTGCAGCCCAACCAGCTTCCATTAGGTACTAAAAGCCACAAGCAGACGATACAGACTAGAAGTTGTTAACTCTGCACAAATTATAATACCGCAAGTGTTGTCCAAAAAAGGCATTAGCAAGCAACAAATACAAGGTCGGGGACTTCATTTTCATGCATATCACACAGAGTTCACCGCAGTACTGTCCAAAAAACATCATTCACCTGAGGTATTTGTGTCGTTTTCCCGCATCCTGTCTCTCCCACAATGATCACGGTTTGGTAAGTCTCAACCAAGTACAAAATATTATTCCTGTGCTGGAAATAGAGAACAAATGGAGCTTTATTATGAGCGAATGTGCACAGTCTGAAAGCACTCTCAAGATGCAAACAGGGAGGATATTGGGCCAAAACCTTGAATACGGGGAGCCTCTGTCGCTGGTTCTCTATGGACAGAGCTGTGTTGGGGTTGTAGATGACAGGGGACCCAGTGGTCTCTGAACTGAGGTCTCGTTCCTCTGAAATCCCCGGTCCCTCAGATCCTGGACAGCGGCAGAATAAGACGTTAAAATAGCGGGTTTTGGTGTCAGAGTAGCGCATACAAGCTCACCACTCCACCACACTATGTACAGACGTGTTATTCACGCTGCCATGCGAAGTTCTGGCCATGGAGCGAATCTGATGCTTCGCTACACGCAACAAAAACACTGACTGACTGGTTTAATGAATGCGTTATGTTTCTATGAAGGCGAGACAACAGCATCAACCCAAATGCGGCGTGTTTATAGTATTAATAAATGCACTTACCCGGCTTCCAGAATTTCTTCGCAGAATGAGAAGCCGCCATCTTGGCTTCTGACGTCACGTGTTGAAAAGCAGCAAGGACGTCATCGTCAGGTCAAAAATATAGAAAGGTTTTGAAAATATAGATAAAATAATTTCCAATACAATAAGTTTTTAAAATGCAATAATAGAAAATACACATAATAAATAGCATATTAAAGGAAAGGCAAAAAAGTATCCATCCACCAATTGTGCAAGATTTTTTTGTAAAGAGGTTTTACATCTCAACATCATCACTTTTGTTGTCTCGAGAGACACTCCAGTATTGTGTACGTAATATGATCTAGTTACATCAAGGTAATGGGTTGTACTATAGATGCCTAAAATTTTATCTAATAGCAGTAATTAAGTATTTGTGATACAGTCACACTCAACATTGAACCATATAAATGGACATGGACTTATTGACGATATATGAATCTATCCATGTTCATATCCTGTGATGAGCCGACAGGCTTTTGACCACAGAGGAATTTAATACAGAAATATGTATAATAAAGATGTATGTTTTAATTAGATAGTGGATATCATACTGTAGGGCAGGGGTGTCAAAGTAGTTCCATGAAGGGCCAGTGTGGCAGCAGGTTTTCCTTCTAAGACACCAGACTCCACCCATTTTCTCAAGTGTTCAGGTTAAGACTGGAGTCACTTGAGGAATCGGGAGTCTGGTGGGCTCCTTGTCTGGAATGAAAACCTGCAGCCACAACGGCCAGTTGACACCCCCGCTGCAGGGAACGTATACTGCTAAATATACTGTATCTCACCGATGTAGCTAATGTATCTTATCTGACAGTCAAATGATAGTGTTACTATTATTATTAGTTTATTTGATATGGACATATCAACTGCATTGGACAAACCAGATACATTGTTTCCAGTGTTATAGCAAAACTGCTAATTTGCAACACCTGTCCATAGGACCATTACCATTACCATTCATTTCCTGAAGCAGTTGTCCAAAATGTAACATGGAATGAATCTATTTGAACAAAAATGAACAAACAGCAGATACATCTTAATTTAAAACAGAGGTCAAGTAACCTCCCCTCATTTAATGACTTTGAAAGAGTTGATCAGAAAATACAATCCTTTTAAACATTAACAGTGAGAGTATTAATACAATGACATAATCATGTTCTTCACTATAAAATACTTACTGAAGATTGTTACATCAAATATGATATAACATTGGTACAAACAAATCAATGTATTACTAGATGAATTTACAAATTGTATTTTATTTACAGATACGTTTAAATTAATAGTGTTTAAAATAACATAAGACTTTGAAACAATGTGGCATGATCTGTCAAAACTGAAATACAAAAACTACAAAACTTACTCCAAATCCTAAAACCTCAGCACTGTTCAGACGCAGAAGCTTTGTGTGGTCAGGGAATACGTATTGCATATTTCTTTCCCTGTTGCTTAGATGAGCAGTGTGCTAAATGAAAATCTATTCCTCGAGTTTATTGGAACTCAAACATACAACATTTGCAATGGAAGATGAGTTTGAAGAAGCAGCTCTGAAATACAGAGACAGCTTTTGATATCAGGGCCGTTTCCTTCCACCAAAGTCCTCACGACGCACTGCACATTGTGATGTCATCAAGCCACACGTTTGGCTAGACCACAAATTAAGTGAATGTCCACAGGAAAAGTTAGTCAAAATGCAACGCCGTGTAAAAGATTACCCACACCACCTGGAAAGAAAGAAGATTAGGTTAAAAAGGACTTAAACAATTTAAATTAAATTAGGTCAAATAACACAACAGTGTGGCACTAAAAATAACGTAATTATTATATAGCGATGTGGCTAAGCATATTTTTTGTGGTAGAGTTGTGACAGCAAAGTTAATGGACTTATTATTTTGAAGTTTGAGTAGCTATAGGACACTTGTTTATTGTCAAAATAGATGACAATAAACAAAAGGAATGAGTTTAAGCATGGAAGACAACAGTGAAGCTGTCAAACACCTCGTACTTGAGGTGTTTGAGGTCGTCCCACTGCTATTTCAACATGAAACCCTGCTATTTTTATTCAAGTGCAGCCTATATGTGGACAAAATTTTAATTATTTTAAAATGTTGCTAGTGTGGCTTATATAGAGGTGCACCTGAGAGTATGGTAGATTCAACAGTGGGGGGTTGGCACTTTATTTATTTACAAGATACAAGAATTTACTTTTGTAGTTTAATTTAATTTGTAGTAAAACCACATTGGAAAAACTGTGCAAGACTACCCCAGTGTGTACCAGACAGAGAAGACAGCACACACCATCTTTAAGTCACCATGTAACAATTAGTAGAATAAACAGCAGAGGGCAGTAACATACATTTCAAAGACAGTTTGGATAGACACTTTATGTCTTGGACAAGACACAAACATTTCTATTTAGGATATAAACTCTGACAGCCCTGTCCAATGTGGGCGGCCAGAGTGGACTGGGTAAGGGGGGGTGGGGGGCTGAGCCAGGAAAGACGAGGGAGGGAGTGAGGAGGGAGGAGGGAGGGGATAAGGGACAAGGTGCGTGGGTGGGAATCTGGAGCTGGGTAAGCTGTGAGTCTGAGGTGTGTGTTGAAGAAGAGTCCTGTTTTATATTAAATCTTCTGTCCTTTACATTGGGTTAGATTCCATTCTCGTATAATTTTGACATTATTTTGAAAAGCCTCTGAAAAATATAGTAGAAACTGTACTTCTGGACTTTGCATGCATTTTAAAATTAGGGCCCCAGTTTTAGGCAATATGAGTGACTCAGTTGGTGCCTGAACCCACCACCTGCAGGAGGATCAGTGGCAGGCGGGTGGCAGCTCTGATTGCCGAAAAGGGGATACAAAATTTCACCCATTCTGTCAAAAACATGTCATTACTGGTCTGTTTCTTTATAACTTTTGATCCTTACCAGAAAAAGAGCAAACGATGTCATGAATCCCTCTTTAGTGAGCTCCCATGTGCCGCCGTACTCCTCCTCATCGATCTGTTGAAAGCTGCTGAAGTAAACGTACAGGACCCCAGCATTGATGATGCAGAATCTTAACACAACAAACAGATTAGGACTTTTGTTATTTCTTATTTGGAACATATTTTAATTGGGCTGCAAGATTGGGGTGATATTCCAATTGGCAATCTTCTGACTAATGCAATATATGCTCAAAGAGCAGGATACTGTTCAGATAATTGAGAGGAGATGATGAATTGAAAATCTAAGAATCCAATTATTTTTTCGAATACTTAAAGAAAACTACCGGTAATCATTTTTGTACCGCCTAAACTTGGTTCCACCCTCTAAGTAACCCCCATTTCAGATACTAGTTTATATATGCATTTGCCTAGTAGTCCTTTACTAGGCAAACGCACGTAGTTTCTTTACTTTCTTGCTTCACTTATATGCTGAATGAAAACATTTTCAGCAAGTTTACAGCAGAACTGTCATAATTTCCGTACTACTTTTCCTGCGGCTTATAGTAATGCAGCCAATATGTGTAATTTTACTGTGGTAGAGTCAGTGCATGACTCCATCAAGTTTTAGAAGCAATTAATAAAGTCTTTTATCTTATCTCATACAGGACACTTTTACATAATCAAAATAGACTGGTGAAGGCGTTCCGGCAGAGCTAACGGTTGGGCTGTTACAAACACCTGATTTACAATTTGTGATTAATCTTGCAGCCCTATTTCTACTAAAAAAAAAATTTTGAAAAAAAAAAAAAGAGTAAAATTAGGTATATTTACATGGCTATTCCCAAAAATCCTTTCAATGGCGCGATGCCCCATATGACACCAAGTATTACAGCAATAATTTGACGAAACCAGTAGACGACGTCTAAGAACTCATCCTGCAAAGAGAAACAAAATATATATTTTTTTTAATTATCCATTTCAGCTTCATAAAAAACAGTCTTCCTGAAAGTGTAAGACTGATTAAAGATTTGGAAGTCTGGTAGAATGATCATTGTTTTGAATAAGAATAATAGTTTTACAAAAGATAAGACTAATCAAAAGTTTTTCTAAAATCAACTGAAAACACATTTTATTTATTTCTTTTACACTACTAAATCACAGTTTAAGGAGCTGCAAAGTGTTTAAAAATACATATATATTATAAAAGATTGAACAGTGGTGGCTGAATGGATAGCACTCTCGCTTCCCAGCAAAAAGGTCCTGGGTTCGAATCCTGTCGGAACGGGGCCTTTCTGAGTGATGATTCCATGTTCCATGTTCTTACCCCTAACACTAAAAACATGTACAATAGTATGAATGTAATCTGTGAGTGAATGGATGGTGTTGGTTGGAGCTTAGATTTGCCAGTGTGTTCAGCGTCTCGCTTCCATCGTCACTGTGTGGAGAGAATGGAACATTATCTGAACTCTGAACATTGTAAAGTGCTTTGGGTGATGGAGATCTTGGTCAGTGAAGTGTGATTATATATATATATATATATATATATATATATATATATATATATATAAATAAATAAACATTACTTACTAACTTACTAACTGAACACATTTAGATAACACCACTGAGCTGTGGAGAGTAGTTAGCCGGTAGCTAGCTAGCCTCTGCCATGGAATTTTTACTTCTGGAAACTAAATGACCAGTCACTTTGCAGCTTTATTCTTGTGTATCTTTTTGGCCTAGTTTTTCCCACTGTTGCTCAGTAACATCCCATTGTGATATCCTAATTTACAACCAAGAAGAAAAATTACAAATATAAAAAAATTAGGCCAAATTTGGATTAGATCTGGTATATTAAATATATATATTTAAACTTCAATAGTAGCCTTTTGTCTCTATATTGTGAAAAGCTGACGTTTTTAGCTGATATTTGGCACACTGCCAAAAGACTGTCATTTTCTTTTATGTATACTGTAATAAGTTGTACGTATTTATTATATAAATGTTAATGTTAACTTCCTAGTTTTGTTTAACTGGCTTTGAGTTGCCTTTGGTATGAATTGTGCTGTACATAGAGTTGCCTTGGTTGAAACAAGTTTTTTTTCCTACTGAAGCAGAAAGGAAAAACTAAATGAACACTCACTAATCCATTAAACATTGTTTCTTTAAAGTGAACTATGTAATAAAATCCACGTCGCTAGCTTCGTTCTCTCAAAACAGTTAAGTTTGATCACTATTATTCATATGCATGTTTTTTCACCTTACTTCTTTAGATCAGCTTTTTCAGAAAGACTTGGGATGAAGAACTGTCCACCTCCACTCAGCCAATAAGCTCTCAACCAGAAGTGTCAAATAAGGACTCGCCGAGTATGCTTTCCATGCTTATGATGATGACAGCATGTTGTGGTCTGAATAACTCATAACTTACTTTTGCAAACGCAATATATTATTTGTGAAAAGGTGTCATCCTCATCTTTGATTTTTAAAAAAAGCTGAATTTATATCTGATCTGTGTTGACAATAAGGAAATGGCAAATGCAGGTTGCAGATTATTCCTAAAGATCCAAGAATGTGTTCAACTCAATGGGATTAAAAATAGTTAAATGGCCATAACCCTGATAATCCTTAGCATTGGAGCTAACATGCTTTCCAATTAGCCGTGCAAGAAATAATACAATATTTGCAATGATTGAAAAGTTAAATTTAGCTTGCAGTCCCCTTCAAGTTTCCCCTACAAGGGCAAATGCACAGACCTTCTCTTCCCAGACGGCGCTGCAGCTGAGGGCTTTGCTCCATGTGGACTGCTTAACACCTCCATTCGCCAAATGACCGTCTTCTTTCCGCTTCGCACTGCTCGTCATTTCGCTATAATTTCCAAACGTAAGAGGGCAATATTCACCCACTGGGGAGCTGTAAATGTGGGGAAGCTCCACGCGTGTTCAGGTACAACTCCGTGTGTGGAATGAGTGAAGTTTAATCCAAAAACACAGCGCTGATGTGACAGATTTCAGACAGACGCTCTCGTGCAGGACTGTGTGCGCATGCGCAGTCCTGTTTGACCCCAGCTTCGCGCAGCCAATGGGAGAGTGCGACGTTTCAGAGTGCGAAGAGACTGTACCAAACAGCGCCTCCTATCGGTGTGAGTGCATGCGGCAACTGCAAACGTTTTTTTACTGGTGTTAAAGCTGGGGTGACTAACTTGTTTTCTCCATGAATAAGGCATTATGTTTGTCCCCTCAGAAATAGTTTTAGTAACATCCATCCATCTACTTCCCCTAATCCATTAACATATTGTGGAAAAACTCAGACGACAGTCTCTTCCTCTTATTAGAAAACATGTAAGAAAGGGCTCGTGAGTCACTATTCCACACTTGGCTGAAAAACATACACACAGCATGTGAACAATAGTGTGGTACCACCTGCATGTGAAAGCTAGATCCTGTCAGTCCTGTGACGCTAAGCAGAGCAGGGCCTGGTTAATACTGTGATGGAAGACCACTGGGGATACCAGGTGCCACAGCGGGATGGCTGCAGCTGAAACTGCCAAACTGAAACTGCCATACTGCTTTTGTGTCCTTTGGCACATTACCAAGGATGAGACTCGTGTGTGGATGAATGATTGGTGATGGTCAGGCCAGTGGCATATAATGGTTGCCTCAAAGCAGTCAGTCTTCCTCATGGCAGTCAGTCTGCCCCAGGGCAGCCATAGCTACATCAGTAGCTTATCACCACCGTGTATGGCAGGCATGACCAAAATAATGCTCCATTTTTGTCAGCCCCTGGACAAGTCTGTTGAACTTAAGTGGCCCTCTTTTTGAGAGGTTTGGACAACCCTGGTGAATGGAGTGAATAATAATGCTAATTGTAGCGTCTGAGTGTAAAAAGAAGCGCTATTTAAAACTGCAATATTATCATTATACTGATTTCAGAAAAGTGAGAGGACCACCCTCACACCAGCCAATCAGAACTCAGCCCAAAGCTTCTAATTAAGATTAAGATTAAGATCAAGAGATCCTTTATTCGTCCCACAGTGGGTAAATGTCAGTGTTGCATCACAAGTTAAAGAACAGTAGGAAAGAGGAGCACACAGCACAAGTTAAGCGAACAATAGCTATACTAATAAAAAAATAAACAAAATCTCTAACTCTATTATCAATAAAAGTATAAAATCTCTATCTTGAAAATAATAATAAAAGACGTGTAAAAGTTTTACATTTGGCAAAATAAGAGGCAAGTATAAAGTACTGTGTAATCTAGTGCAAGCAGAGTGTAGTTGTATGTTAGCATCTTGTTAGCAGCAGTATGTTTACATTATGTTTAATGCAAATGGAAAATAAATGAATCTGAATCTGAATCTGAATCTTATTACTCACATTGCTTTCTTACTAGTATATGCAAACGATGTGTTTGGTTAGAAACCCCATTCAATTTTGATAAATTTACCGAAGCCACTGAAGAATATGACAAAAGATTCAGAGGTCTGGGATTGTGTCACAGCAGAAGACATGTTTTATTGTTGGAATACACCATCAATGACACAACCAAAGCTTTCACATGTTAATTACCAAGACAACAAATACAATTGTTCCTTCAGCATCTACAAGGCAAGGCAAAGCACGTTTATTCATATAGCACAATTCATACACAAGGCAATTCAAAGTGCTGAACAAAATAAGAAAGCATTAAAATCATAAATAATCACAGAACATTAAAAAGAAAGATAAAAATATAAAATCCCTCAGTTTTATGCACAGCTAAACAGAACTGTCTTTAACCTTCAACATCACTAGCTAAGCTCTCTCCCTCTTTCTCATCCCAAAAAGCTTTGGTGCCTAACTTTTAAATGAAGAATCTTTCTTTCAGTTAGCCATGCAAAGTTTGTATTGATGTAGCTTGCACAGATGTAGCTTGCATGAACCCACAATCCATTTCAACAAATAGACTTAGGCCAGACATTTTTCCATAGTACATCATCAACAAACACACACAGTGTTGCAATAATTTTTTGGGAGCATGGAAAGATAGGTTTTAGGCAGAAAAACATACTGTTTTAGCACAATGAAAAGGGCGGGGAAACACAACTGACCTGAGACTTACTGGTAGATTCCTCAGCTCTTAATCACTTATTATCATGGAAATTTCCCGACTATGGGTAATTAGAGGTCCTCTTATCTTATCCCTCAGGGGGCGCATCATCATTTAGAATTTAGAAATGTAGTAAATGTAAACTGTTTAGAACCATTACATACCAAGAAATCTCCCAAGTATTTTATAGTTGCTTCTTTATTATGCCATAGGTAGACATTTTTATACTTCATTTCATTATGCTAAAGTTAGAGATTGTTGATATTTCATTCAGTAGCGTTTAGTATAGAGGGTATTAGTACAGAGTTTAGTATATAGAGTATAGCTTTGTTCATTTATATTATAATGTGCTGTGTTCTTCTTGTTCTTATATTGTGCTGCATGTGCTCCTTGTTCCTATTGTTCTGTAACTGGTTATGCAACATTGAAATTTCCCAATGTGGGACGAATAAAGGATCTCTTAATCTCCATGGTTTCAACTTGTGTGATGTTCTTTTTGTTTCTTAGGTCTGAGAAGTTGATGGCATAAATATACAGCGTTTGCCAAATTAGATCAAATTACGAGCTTCTCTGAATGATCAGTAGGGGGCCTCTGATCAAATGAACTGTACTCAACTAGGCCAGGGTAAGGATGTTGGGTTTCACTATGGGGCATACTTTACAAAGGTGTTTTAAGATGGTTTGTTGGACACTCAACGATGCTTCACGTGTCATTATTCATTCACTCCATACACTGTGGTGATAATCTACTACTGTAGCCATGGCTACCCTGGGGCACACTGACAGAAGCGAGGTAACCAGTATGTGCCATCGGCCCCTCCAAACACTGTGGGTGAAGTGTCTTGCCTAAGGACACAACAACAGCAGACATCAGTGGGAGTCGGCGGAGAAAGTCTTGTGGTGGGCTCGAACCCATGACCTTCAGGCTCTACCAACTGAGCCACCTTCGCCCACTGTCATTTAAAGTAGGATGTGTAAACAACATACAGAAATAATAAGACCTAATGGCAGGAAATTACATGTGTTGTCTAAAGCAAGTGAAATGACTAACACAAATTAAATACTAAACAGAGTAATTTTTATTGTATTAAATGTCTGTGTTTTCAGGCACAAGGTAAAAATGTGCAATTCATATACAGCTTTTTATGATCAAAATAACACTAAAATAAATAAATGCACACTGTATTAATCAAATCTAGATAGACGGTTTTATAAGACAGAGACAACAATACATTATAACCTAGAGTATTCACTTTGTCATGTATGTTTTAGAATAATGTGAAGAGATTAAGAGATCCTTTATACGTCCCACGGTGGGGCAATGTCAGTGAAATGCATCATAGAATAACAGAACAGTACGAGGAGCACACAACACAAGATATGTGAGTATCAAGCATAGGAAAAGTCTACCTTTAGCTTAAAAGAAGAAAAGCTTACCCTTATATAATCTGGTGAAAATAAATAAATACTTATTGAGAACACTGTGTAACACTCAAGTGCAATAATATCAAGGTAGTAATTCATTAGCTCCCATGGCCGCATTGCTCGTTGCACAGTCTGACAGCAGCAGGAAGGAAAGGCCTGAGGGAAAGATCAAAATACAAACACATTGACCAAATAAATAAGAAAAAGTTGCATTGTGTTTACATTTCTCAGCAGATTATTCAATAAGAAAGCGATCTCTCATTTGGGTTGCCAGTTTCTTGGGGGATTCCAGGTGGTTGGGTCACTACCTGAATCTCAGCAGCTGCAGCAGAGAAGTAAACAGAGATGGTGGTTTACATACATTTGATGTCATAATTGCACTATCCATCCCTCCATTTTTCTTCCCCTTAATCCTGGGTCGGGGGGGGATGGCAGTCAGGGATAACACTGAGCCTCCTGCAGGTGGTGAGTCCACAGGAGGGTGGCTGCTCTATGAGTGACGACACAGCCTTAATCTTTCAGCAGGGGCTTCAGGCAAAGTGGGGTTAAGTATCTTGCTCAAGGACACATCAATAGCAGACATCAGTGGAAGTCGGTGGAGAAAGGACTCAAACCTTTGACAGTCAGGCTCAAAGACCAATTCTCTACCAACTGAGCCACTATCACCCCATATTTGCACTTATAAGCAAAAAACTACATGATGCTCCTTAAAGCTACAGGTACATCTTTTTATAATTATTATTATGAAAATCCATGTATATGTAGTTAGTTACTCGCTCTCAAAACAGTTTGGTTCTATCACCTTTAGATCCGCTTTTTTCAAAGAGAAAAGTGAAAAAGAAAAGATCATCCCCACTCAGCCAATCAGCCTCTTGCCAAAACAGCATCAAATTGTGCCTCACGGGGCTCTTTGAATGTCCGACAAATAAAGGTTGTTTTTATTTTTTTATCTTATCTTTCCTCCCAAGTTTGCAACAGATACAAGATGAAGACAGCATGTTGTGGTCTGATTTGTTCGCAACATTGTCTTGTTAAGAACTTTGAGTTGCCATGTGTATTAACTTAACTGTGCGATACAAACAAGTTGCTATTTGTACATGTATTAGTGTTTGTATCTTGTCAGCGGGAGGGGATTCAACCCAATAATCATTTGTTCCACCCAACCCTTTTTACAAACAGTGTTTTTTTCCTATGTATTAAAATTAAGGAAAGTGTATTCGTATGGCACAATTCATACACAAGGCGACTCAAAGTGCTGAACAAAACAATAGAGACAATCACACAGGGCATTAACATCATAAATAATCACAGTACATTAAAAAGAGTGACGATACAATCCCTCAGTTGTATACACAGCTAAACGGAACTGTTTTTAAACTGGATTTGAAACTTGTCAGAGAAGAAGCCTGGCTCACATTTTCAGGAAGACTGTTCCAGATTTTAGCTGCATAAATCTGGAATTCTGCATCCCCATGTTTAGTCCGGAGTCTGGACCCCACAATCCCAGTGCTTCTCAGAGTCCGAGTGGGTTCATTTGGTACTAACATGTCACGGATGCACTAAGTTTTAAATAACTTACTGAAAAATGTTTAAACTCTTTCTGTTGGGAAAAAAAAAAAAAACACACAATGCAATTTATTCATAGAGGAGGAGGAGTGAAAAGTTAGGTATCCCAGCTTTAAAGCAGACACCTGGAGATGGGACAGGTGAGCGGATGGGCATAGCAGGGGGAGCAGAGGGAGCTTGCACAGTCTGGTCCAGTCTGGTCCAGTCAGGTCCGGAGAACGGGATGTGACTCACTTCTGTCTCTCTGCGGTGGAACGCTTCACGCCAACTCTTGCGCCCGTGACGTCTGCATCACGTGTCCGCCTCGCTCCTCGCGCTGTATTTCCCTTCTCTCCGCTTTGCTTCATTCCCAGCCTCCACACCGGGATAGTAGAAAACACACAGCCCGACTCTCGATCACTACCTTACCCCCGGGAGCCACGCGTATCCCAGGCGGCTACAGAAGACACCGCTCCCCCCCCCCACGCTCCTGGTCCAAGTTACCATCCGCTCCACCCACACCACCGCCTCCTCTAGTCTTGACCCCGACTCGCAACTGTAAACTTCTGCGAATAGGCGACAGCAGAGAGGGATCAGACAAAGACAGGTGAGAGAAATGTTGTGTTTCTACTAGTTACATACTGAAAACTTGCACAAAAAGGCGCCTTTGTGGGGTTTGCTAGAGGGTTGCTGGCCAGCTGTATGTGTCGCCTGCTTAAAATGGCGACAGTAGCAGAGAGATAGAGGCTGGTTTGGGTTCTGGATGGTTCTGGTCTGTGGTTCTGATTCAGTCCTTCAGTGCAATGATCCCGAGACTATGGTCTACACTGGAACAGCGTGAGCACCAGTGTGCGTGAGAGTGTGTGTGCAAGACTGCTGCTGCTGCTTTCATTGATCCAGTCCATTTTAGCAATCAAAATAAACTATTATCAATGCTAGGTTTTTTGTTACAATCTCATGTCATGTTCACAGATGTCTCCCACGTGCATTGTCCATTATCTGTTGAGAATATGTGAGATTAATTTGGCAAAGTTTTGAAATCTCTTGATCCAAAACATCTCATGAGCATCATCTATGAAATCCTCTTCTTGTTCAAGGGAGTAATGGTTTGTATATATGTCCAATGTCTTATAACTATACAAAGACAAAAGAAAGAAATGTTTCCCATGTTTTAAAGCTAATATTATTGTTTCCCAGACATGCTTATATGATGCTCTTGTCTACTGTCTTCCCCTTCATTTTCACATCATCCTCATTATTGACAGTGCAACTTTGAGGATTAAAGGGAGCTTTCCCAGACAGCTGAGCCCAGACACAAGAACCTAATCCAGGTATACGTAGGCCTACATCGCACTTTTCACCTATTGATCCTCCAGCGTCACACATGCATTCTCAGTTGGCCTATATATCTCTGGTTCAAACAACAAGCAAAGCAAAACAACAAGTAGGTTTTTTTCGTTATGATTTGTCGCCCTAGATCTCTACCTGTGGGAATGTGAGCTTATATTGCATATCATTGCAGATGGATTTAAAGTTTTGCTTTTTTAAAAACACTATTATTTTTCTTTCTTGACCAGTCACAAGCACTCTAATAATTACTACTTTTTTGTGGTTGAGTAAGGTTCATCTTGTCTTCTTAGTAGAATAAGTATACATCCAATTTTGTTAGGGTTACTACTTATAATATGATTAATAATCACTATGTTTTGCAATATTGGAGAGATTTTTGCTGTTATTTTAGTAAATTGATAATGTTTTAACTGTGGAGGGTTCAATATGTCGCGTCAATCTGCCGTTTAATTTCTTATACTAATAAATTAAGTGTTATTTTGCAGAAAAAACGGAAGCTATTTTTTCAATAGGTATGTTTTAGTGCAATTAAAGTAACATTTCTCTTTTTGAGCAAATCCGTTCAAAACGACTGCCAATAACATCGTGTTGCCGATTGGAAGTAGAGGGATACAACTTATTATGTTCAAATTCTCCAAACTGAGATATGTTTTGTGAAAATTAATTTGAAAAATGCTTTCAGCCATATTCCAGTGTTCTTCCCTCATATTCTTTTTGTAACAGTGGCATGAAGTCGTTCATCCTAATCATATTCTGAAACAACATATCGTCCGTTATTATTGATTATAGCGGAAGGCCTTGCTATTGCTTTTAAAATATGAATAAACTAATTAATATCTCACATTTCACGTAGTATTTTGGGCACCCGCCATTGTTGGTTTGAGACGGTGCGTTTTTTTGTTGTTTTGAGTGAAGGCCAGTCTTGTTGTGGCCCTCTCATGTTTCCACTGTGCATGATTTGGGCAGCAGCAGCAGCAGCAGTAGCAGTAGCTGCTTCTGCTCTGCTCTGCTGGTTAACAGCTTGTGATGTCAGCCATTTTAGGTCGGGAAGCTCAGAGCATGGTCGTCCGCCATTTTTTTCTTCCCTCTCCTCTCTCAGCGAACACACTTTTAGAGCCCCTACAGTCTATGGCCCCAACACTGGACGAGTTTAGAACCAAACCCTTGGCCGTGTGGAAGTGTACTCAACATAAGTGGAATATATTGATTAATGATTTTAATAAAGGTTTAATGAGTGGAGATTGGAGAGATGACGGCGGTGGGGGAATTTCAGTGTTGCAGCTCATAGAACAGAGCCGTGGAATTACTTTAATATTTAATAATTGAGTAACTATATTATCAAAATGGTAATTCAAGTTCCAATAGGGCAGCAGAAATCCAATGTTTTTTGCCAATTCCTCTAAACTGATAGATAGAATCCGCTCCATGTGAAACAAGTGCAGATTCATTTTCAATTTATTTTTGTATAAATTACTGCCTTTGTCAGAGGACTTCAAAGTTGTTGATTTCAGCAACAGCAGATCAGAGAACAGTTCAAATGATGGAAATGCAATCATAAAAATTACTCTGGAGCTATTGGTCATAGGGAGCGGGATTTCCAATGTCTGTGAATGTTAAAATATTGTATTTATTTATTAAACCTAAACGTATGATTAATTTTAGTTAGATATGCGTAATTATAGAAATTCAATTGAGTCATGGAAACTGTCATCAAATCTAACTTTTGTTTTCGATTCCGCTGGTCTTATACATTTTTATAATGATTTATTTTCTTTTACATATGGGGGAAAATGTCATAAACGGGGAAACATTTTAGATTCTCTGAGCAGGTTTTGAATGATATTTATTTCAAAACTAAGAAACCATTGTATAAAGTACTGAAGATGTAATTAATGATTACTTTAATAATTGATTATTTGTTTGGCACCAAAAGATCAGTAAATGTGATTTATTTATTTTTTTTATTTTTATTTTTTATGTATATTTTTTTTATATATATATAAATCTTTTTAAATATTTGACAAAAGCAAAGCTCAAGTCATTCCCCTGGAGACACATTTTCATTTAATTCTTGAGGTATGTTATTATAGAAAATCTTGAGGCCTTTTTCTGAAACCTCTGCTCAGCATTGGGTCTATGTATTTTTACTGTAAACGATTACCACTAGTGCCAAACTATTTAAACTATTCATTTTATGTACAGAAATGCAGCTCATTGTCTAAAGATGTATGTATCTGTGTTGGGTGTTGAAATTGGTATTTAGTTTTATTCTATGTTTTACCATCAGAATCACATTTAAGTATTGCAACAAATCTATTTCCATCTTTCCTTTTGCTGCTGAGGGCACAAAAGCCGTTGCCTAACTGGATAACCGATCGTTTGGCTCACAGCGAGGCGTGAGCTCTGGCCAATGGCACGCCTTGGCGACAGCGCCCACACCTCGCAGACATCAACACCGTGAAGGGAGGCACTGAAATAGGAGCAGCGTGAGCAGTGACTCCTACAAATACCAGCCTCAGCGATGTGTGTGTGTGTGTGCAGCAAACCGGCCCCAGCAGAGTCAGGGGAGAGCTGTAGAGACATGGGTTTTGGAGGAGGCCGGCTTAAACAGAGAGGGGAGGGGAGGAGGTGGTTGCCATGGGAGATGGTAACACACCAGTGGCGCTGCCGTTCTGTCTCCCCAGACCAAACTTAGATGAACAGTGAGAAGAAGCCAATAAACAAGTCTTATATTACTGAGACAAAGTACAATAGGGGCATGGTGCATGGTAGAGCTGGAGCAAGTTAAGTCAAGGCAAGTTTATTTGTAGAGCACGGTTCATACACGTGGCAACTCAAAATGCATAACAAAACAAGTTCGAAAAAAATCACACATAAACACAGTACATTAGTTAAATAAAACTGTTTTTCACCTGGAACGTTGTCTATATATAGAAGCCTGTTTCACATTTTTTTCTAAGACTAGTCCAGATTGTAGCTGCTGCCTCCTCATGTTAGTTCTGACTCTGGGCACCAGCAGGAGTCCAGTCCCTGTGCTCCTCAGTCCTAGTTGGTTCATATGGCACTAACATGTCTCGGATTAACTTTGGTGCGAGGCTATGCACAAACAGAGATGCTTGAACAGCTATTGAGCCAGAGGAAGCCAGTGCAGAGACCTGAGATCTGCACTAATGTGATTGTACTTCCTGGTTCTAGTCAGTACTCAAGCTGCAAGGTCAAACATAACAAAATCATATCCATTGATCATTCGGGATCTTACAAGGATAATTTGTATTTTTTGTGAGACTAGCAACCACAAAAAAATGAATGCAAAGTAGATCTGTTGTATGACTTGAATATAACTGGTGCTCTCTCAGTCAAGTATGGCAACTGTAAGATAAGATAAGATAATATGTACTTTATTAATCACACACAGGAGAAATTTACATGTCACATTTGGCATGGATAGAAACACTCAAGATTGTGCAAAAAGTAAGAAATGTGCAAACAGGACATGACATAATATGTACAAAAGTAGCAATTAGAAAGTGGCAATGAGAAGAAGTGTCAGGAGTAGTGCAGCAACTTAAAGTGACTTATTGTACAGTGATTACGGCTTCCTGAGTAGAGCACATTATATAGGGGGGAAAAAAATGTTATTGCCATAGCGGCAGGTGCAATTGTTATATTGAAAAACTGCAAGTATTGTATGTATAAAACCTGTGTCTGCTTCTAGCGCTTTCATGGAGTGAGAGTGAAGTGTCAGTCAACAGTCCAAACACCAGTATTGCATAATATAAGTAGTGTTGTCATAATGCTAACAGTTCTCAACTTATATCAGTGCTATTAAATCATTTTGATACTTTGATACTTATTATTAAATAGCTTTTTGGATATCATTTTGAAAAACAATTGCACAAGTACTGTCTTTAGTCATTTATTAAGTCAATGGAATCTCACTTGAAAAGAAAAAAAGTGTTTATTCACTAGTTTAAAAAAATTATATATTAGTGCTTGAGTACCTAACTTTCAAACCATAAAATGGAACTGTGTAATCAAACGGATTGGTTCTATCACAAATTCTCACATGCATGATGTATCTTTTGACTCGCTTCTGTTTTTTGGGCTTTTTTTCAGACAAAAAAAGTAACTCGGCCTATCAGCTCTGACGCCAAACTGCAATTCACATGGAACTTTTTTACTGCTATGCTATCTGTTGTGAGTTAAATGTTCTGATGACAGCCTCTTGAGGTCCAACTTGTTCACATTTTACATTTA